TCGCTAGCCGTTGCGCTTTTAATTGCTTTTAGGATAGCTATATGTTACGACCCGACCAACGGTTGGTCACAAGCAGCCCTCAACAAGGCCGACACGTGACGGAGGGGTACAGGATCCCGCGAAGTCACGTGATGGATCATTTGGATCACTTGGTGATCCCAACGATCCGGCTCATTGGATCATCTCGATGATCCAACGACGATGTACAGGATCATTGGATCGTCTCAATGATCCAACGATCCGTGAACAGGATCATCACGTTCGCTGAATGATCCACGAAGGACCACTGGGTATATAAGGACACCCAATTCCACTCCTTTAGACTAGATAGCTCTTTAGCTTTCAACACAATCATTACGATCCCTATCACGATCTCATCTCTGATTCCGATCACTTGATTACCTGGTTACAGTCTACGGTCTACGACCTCCGACTCATCACCAACGTGACATACTTATCATTGCTCAGACCACGCCCTGTTGTATCTGCCAACATAAACCCCACGACAGGTTTATCCCTTGGGAATATCACCGGTCGTCACACTATAATACTTCCTATCCGCCTAAAGGGTAGCGGGGTACTCCCTTAAGGAAGTAGCACCCTTTTTAAGGAGATATCTATTAGATCTATTAGTTAATAGCTTATACTATTATAGAGTAGGTAGAGGCGTATATATAGGTGCCGTCCGTAGGATAATATTAATAAGCTATATAAAGCTCTTTTATACGTAGCTAGCCCGCCCTTATACTTATAGGATCCGGCCCTTTATATATAACTACGCGGCTTAGGCTACGGCTTAAGCCTATTACCTATAATAGTTAAAGACTCTTATACCTTTATCTAGAAGTATATTATATAATCTAGGTAGACGTATAATATCTATAAAATATACTTATAGTACTTATAAGTAAGTAGTATTTATAAATCGTCTTTAAATTCTCCTTATAGTTACTATTTTTATTATAGAGCTATAAAGGTATCGACTATAGTAATAGCTATAGTATAGTCTCCCTTATATAGTACTAGTTAATATCGAATTAATATAGCTTATTAGTTTTTTATAAGAGTTTAAGGTATTTATTAGGTTTTAATTTTAAGTATTTCTTTAATTTCTTTAAAGTATAGAGCGTATCCTTTAATTATAGTATTTTCCCTTAGTAGCGAGGGTAGTAGTATAAGCTTATTTTTATCTTTTATTTCTCTAGGTATTTCTTATTCTTTAAAACTTATATCGTTAATACTTCGTTATTCCTTTTTAAGTTATTATCTAAGTTTTATAAGTATAAGGGCTATATCTATATCTTCTTTATTATATTACTTATAGACTACCCGTTATTATTATTAATCTTTATTTTATATATCCTCCTAGAATCGTTTACCGTTCTTCTTAATCTAGTTTTAAGAGACTCCTTTAAGATAGGGGTATTTTAGTTCTACGAATTTAACTTATTTCTATATTTTAAGATCCCTTCGTTATATTATTATAAGGGTCTTCTTTAGTAGCTTTAAGAACTATCTAGTACTATTCTTATCGCTTAAGTATACTATATATTTATCGTTATAATATATAGTCTAACTAAGGAGTTTATACTTTAGTTCCTATTTATTAGTAATGTTTAAGTATTTCTTACCTTCTAAGGCTAGTACCTAGTAAGTTTTCTTTTCCTTATAGGGTTATCTATATTCCTTAAAGTAATATTTAAGTTTTTTATAGTTAAAATACTTTCCTTTACTTTTCTATATTACGTTTAAATCTATCTTACCTAGGTTAGTTATATAGGTATAAGCAATAAGAGTTTTACGCTTCTTTTTATAGTTAGCGCGTCGGTTAAAGTTATTTTTATAAGAAGGGTTTTTATTTCCTCTTTCTTATTTCTTTTCTTAGTATCGCGTATATTATCTATTATCGATTTATACTACTATAGTAATATAGTCTAAGAGGTTATTAGGTCGATTTTCCTTATAGAGCTTGTCTTTAACTTCTTCTTTAAGCCTATTATAGAATTATAATATAAGAGGTTTATTATCTTAGTTAAGTTTTAAGGTAACTTAATAGAACTTTATAGTATAATTTAATACTAAGATCCTTTATTAAAGTTCTTAAAGTTTTTATTTAGCTTTTCGTTCCTTATTAGTTATTCTAAATACCTTTATAATAGCTTCTTTAAATCCTTAAAAACTAGTAAAGACTTTATTCATCTTATTATCTCGTTACGCTAGTTAGTTATTAAGAAAATCCCTTATAATAAGTCTAAACTAAGTAAGTACCGTTCTAAATAAATAATTTCCTATATAAAGTACCTTTTCGACTAGGTCTAAGAGTTTTATAAGGTAAAACTAATAGTAGGCCTTAAGTTAGGTAAGAAAGTCTTAAAGCGTGCTATAAGTACCGTCGAATAGTCCTAGCTATTTTAGTTTAACTACTTCTCTAAGGTCCTTAACTTATCCGTTGCCTCCTCCGTTCTTAAGTAACTATACTTTATATCGAAGGGCGATAATCTCGCGTATTATATCCTAAGGCGATATAGTAGCTCTAGAGTTAGTTAATCCGGCTTACTATATAGGCATATTAATAGTTACGATATTACTTAGAGTAACGCGGTATTATATTAAATAAGAGCTTTTAATATATAACGACTAGTATTATTCTTAAAGGATAAACCTATTAAGGGGTTTATATTAGTAGATATAATAAGGCGTAGTCTAAGCAATAATAAGTATATTACGTTAGTAATAAGTTAGAGGTTATAGACTATAGACTATAACTAGGTAATTAGAATTAAAGATAGAATCGTAATAAAGATTTATATTAAAAGCTAGAGAGCTATCTATTTAAAGGAGTAAAAGTAGGTAGCTATATATACCTATAGAGACTATCCTTAGATTATAGGCCTAGCTATAATCCCTAATATTAAATCGTATAGAGCGTAGTAATCCTATTAATCTTAGATTACTTAGATCTCTACGATCCCCTTAATCCTATATCTATTAAATAGTCGTGCCGACTATTTATCCGTTAGACCGTGTTATATACTTAACGCGGTCGACCGTTAGCGGCCTAGTAGCCGTGGTCGTAATACTCTAGCCTATACTTAGTATTTATACTTTAAAAAGTTAGCGGAAAATAGCTACTATACTTATTAAGTAGCGGACTTATAGGGGTAGTAGAGGTAGAGGCGGGGGTAGAGGGGCCGGGCGTTATAGCTAGCGGCAGGGATAGTATCGTTACCCGGAAAGGCGATATAAGGGCGGCTAGCGTAATAGAGGTAGAGGTAGCGGCGGTAGGCGTAGTTATAGGGGCGTAGGTAGGAGTAGTAGTAGCGGCGGAGCTATCGTTAGCTATACTTAGTATAGCGTTAACGAACGACTTTATACGCTTTAAGAAAGAGGAAGTAAGGAAGGGGGAGGTAGATATATTTATTATAAAAGTTAGTATTATAGATTATAGCCTCTTACTTTATAAGGTAAAGAACTTATTAGTTAAAGTTATTATTATTAAAGCTATTATTACTACTATAGCTATTACTATAAGTATATATTAATAAAGCGGCCTATATAGCTAGGAATAAACTAATACCTTAAGTAGAGTAGAACTTACTTATTACTATTATTACTATAATTAAAGAAAGAGGAGAAGGAAAGGAAGGAAGAAAAAAAAGATACTACTTTATATACCCCTAAGTAAAGGAGGCTACTTAAAGCTAAGGGGATAGGTAACCTAAGGCTTATATAGGTCTAGGCTAGCCGCCGGCTACTTAAGGGCGTATATAATAAGTTATACCCTTATTTAAACGGCTAGCCGGCTAATAAGTATAAAGCTTAGTTCTAGCTACCTAGGCTAATAAGTATAGGGATAATAAGGCTAGTAAGGCTAGTATAATTAATAGGAAAGGGTAAGGTAGAGCTAGTAGTATAGGCCTAATAGTATAAAAGCTATTAATTAAGTAATACTATACTACGCTTAAAAGAAGGTATTATATAAAAGTCTTTAACTATTATAGGTTATAGGCTTAAGCTATAGCCTAAGTTATATAGTTATATATAAAGGGCTAGATCCTATATATATATATATAGGCTAGCTATATATAAGAGAGCTTTATATAGCTTATTAATATTATCTTATAAACGGCACCTATATATATACTTCTACTTACTTTATAATAATAGTTTCTAGCTACTAAGAATTAATAGCTTTCTTAAAAGTACCTTTAATAAGTCCCTTAATATAAATTAATAATAATAATATAATATATTTAATAGCGCGATAGTATTATAAAGAGTACTAGTATTAAGGTATACTAAACTTTAAGTAAGCTAACTTATAAGTTAATATTATAGAGTACACGTACCGCCCCGGCGCCCGGGCGCATCCCTGATATGCGTGGTCAATTAACGAAGCTGTCGCTTAGTCAATTTCCGTCTTCTTTTGCCCGCACTACTTTTCGGCCTCTGCGTGGCAGAGGGGTCAGTAGCATGTCCACTGCTTTAGCCCACCCTCCGGCCAAGACCCTTAGGTACTCTATATCTAGGTAAAGTATCGGAAATATAAAGATACTTATATAGTACTCCCCCTATATAGTACTTATCTAGGTATCTACCTTAGGTACCTACCTACTCCGTATAGTTCCTACTCGGGTCTCTCACCCTCAAAGTCCGCTGTCTGGTGGCTTGGCCCGTTATGCCGACGCTAAGCAAGTACCCTAGGAGGTCCCGCCCTGTCGTGCGGAAAGAACCTCACGGGGTAGCCTGCATTCCTTGGTAAGCAAGGGCCCTGGTGAGGGAAAAAAAAACAGTGGCGAGCTAAGCTGGGACGTTCCGGAAGATCTTTGGGTCCACGGAGCTCCTTCGACGACACATTGCCATATCGACCTTGCTCCATTTCTCACGTCTCTACGACCCTCCGCCCCCCCTCTCGCGTCTTCTCGACTTACCTCTCTCCTCGCTACTTCGTGTACGGCACCTGCTAACCGCCGCTCCGTCGCCTTCGAGGTGCTCCCAAGATGCTCGCCAGCCGTTCAATATCCCGGAAGGTCTTGCGCCCGGCCTCCTGGAAACAGTCATCGTGAGTGCTCCCGAAAGGCCTGCAATGTGCATGTCTTGGCTCGCTAACCCGCTGTCGCTGCGCAGCTTTCCCACAGTTGTCGCCTCTTTGAACTTGTCACGATGGAGTCGGGGCTTTGCTTCCGCCTCTGGTCCGTCCGCCCGCGCCGGCCGAGGCCGATTACGGAAACTGTGCTGACGTAGCCACAGATGAAAAGGACCTGGTCATTATTGGAGGCGGTGTTGCTGGATATGTCGCCGCCATCAAGGCTGGCCAAGAGGGCCTGAAGGTGAACTTGGCAACCGCCGCCTTTCCCATCCCCGTGTGTGCGCGTCCCGGCTTGGGTAGACGACAGGCTCACATCTTAATCTGCGCTTCAGGTTACCTGCATCGAGAAGCGCGGCACCCTCGGAGGCACCTGTCTCAACGTCGGCTGTATTCCCTCGAAATCGCTCCTCAACAACTCGCACTTGTACCACCAGATTTTGCACGACACCAAGAATCGCGGCATCGAGGTCGGTGACGTCAAGCTCAATCTCACAAACTTCATGAAGGCCAAGGACAGCGCCGTCAACGGTCTGACAAAGGGCGTCGAGTTTCTCTTCAAGAAGAACGGCGTCGAATATATCAAGGGCGCCGGCTCCTTCGTTAATGAGAACGATATCAAGGTCGCCCTCAACGATGGGGGTGAGACAACTATTCGTGGCAGGAACATTCTCATTGCCACCGGCTCCGAGGCTACCCCCTTTCCAGGCCTCGAGGTGGACGAGAAACGCGTCATCACTAGCACTGGCGCCATTGCGCTCGAGAAAATCCCCGAGACGATGCTTGTTATCGGCGGCGGCATCATTGGTCTCGAGATGGCCTCGGTGTGGTCGCGACTGGGTAGCAAAGTCACCGTCGTCGAGTTCCTCGGTCAGATCGGCGGGCCCGGAATGGACACTGAGATCGCCAAGGCCACGCAGAAGCTCTTGAAGAAGCAGGGCATGGAGTTTAAGCTCAACACCAAAGTCATCAGTGGCGACAAGACGGGCGACAAGGTCAAGCTTGAGGTGGACGCGGCAAAGGGCGGCAAGGCCGAGAGTGTACGTGACAATCCCCCTCCCCCAGGTCGAGGTGATGTCTAAGATGGACTGATGCAGCTCGAAACCGACGTCGTCCTGGTTGCCATTGGCCGACGCCCGTACACCCAAGGCCTCGGCCTCGAGAACATCGGCATGGAACTCGACGAGCGCGGCCGTGTCATCATTGACTCGGAGTACCGGACAAAGATTCCCCACATCCGCTGCGTCGGTGACGTCACATTCGGTCCCATGCTGGCCCACAAGGCCGAGGAAGAAGCCGTCGCGGTTGTCGAGTACATCAAGAAGGGCTTCGGTCACGTCAACTACGGCGCCATCCCGTCCGTCATGTACACCTACCCCGAGGTTGCTTGGGTTGGCCAGAGCGAGCAGGATCTCCAAAAGCAGAAGATGCCCTACCGGGTTGGAACCTTTCCCTTTAGTGCCAATTCGCGCGCCAAGACCAACCTGGACACGGATGGGATGGTCAAGATGCTGGCAGACCCTGAGACGGACCGCCTCTTGGGCGTGCACATCATTGGCCCCAATGCGGGCGAGATGATTGCCGAGGGCACACTGGCCCTTGAGTACGGCGCCTCGACCGAGGACATTGCACGGACATGCCACGCTCATCCGACACTGGCGGAGGCGTTCAAGGAGGCCGCTATGGCTACCAGCTCCAAGGCTATCCATTTCTGAGCCGGCACTTGCATTGAGTTTGATGTGGAGGTGGAGGCAGGTTGGGCCTGACACGCACACGGCGGGCGACTTTGAGCCCCGATCATTGCGATCAATAGACAGCGGCGTTGGAACATTTGTGGCGCGCGCCTCGCCTGTCGACTTTGCTCAAGCAGGGGGCGAGGCTGGTAATGAAAGAGCTCGAGACACTTTCACCTCGTGTCTCGTGCCAGAATATGCCACCGTGTGGAAGTAGGTTGGCTGTGTAAAGTAGCAATGTTGGAGTCAGCGCGTGGATGACATTGATGATATGATGCCGCGGCGGACTGGGGTGTTTCGTGCTCTTGTGGCCTGTGAGGTGATGCGAGCGGACTGGGACTCGCGCTGCCCGGCAATAGCCAGTCATGGTTGGAGTTGGGAGGTTCATATGAACGTAAGCTGCGTGACAAGTCTGACTGCCGGCGATTGATCTCTTGCCGATGCCCTTTGCCCAAGGCGAGGGTGAATCACCCCTTCTAGTTTGCGTCAAACCTAGCACCAGGCCTTGCGTGTGAACCTTGGGGTGAGGTTGGAGAGCGGTTGAACCCTTGCTTGCCTTGTTGGAACAAGCGACATGTCGAGTTGGCGGAGGGGAAAGGCCCGTATGGCATGGGGCTCGTCACGTCTAGTTGCCGATAGCGACGTCTCGGAGGGAGCCAGCAAAACCAAGAAAGAGATATGGTCCATTGCGAGTACGAGCACAGCTAAGTTTCGATGCTCGGTACAAAACAATGTAACTTTGCCTGGGTGGCCCGGCCCGGCTCAACGCATCCCCGAGGTGTGAAATGCAGGCACCCTTTGAACTTTTGGAGGCAGTGGCATGTTTATCCACCACGCCTCGACCGATGGAACGCCCCCTTTGTCTAAACCACTCGCCTGAACTTGGTCACTCTGCCCTGCATCTATCCCGTCCATCCCTCCCACCGACCTGCAACCCGCAGAGCACGCACCCCATCGCCGGTTTAGTGGTGAAAAAAGAAAGCGGGCTACCGAAGGAAAGGGAAAAGGAGTCGACACTCGTCCTTTTGCCCCATCCGCCTCCGCCAGAGTCAACGCGAAAGGCTGGAGCAAAAAGAGAAGGGCTCGGTGCTCGAGCGCAACATCTTCATCAACTAACTCTGCTATTGACTTCCCTGCCGACACCCCAAGGAGCCTCGCAGCTCTTGACCATGGCGCCCGTCTCCTCGCCCGAGCAGAGGCCATACCCTCCAATATCTCGCGATGAGGTCGAGGCGCTGATAGCCGATGGTCGCAAAATCGTCATTTACCAGGACCATGCTCTCAAGGTCGACCCGTGGCTGCCATACCACCCCGGTGGCGACAAGGCCGTGCTGCACATGGTGGGAAGAGATGCCACGGCTGAGATTGAAGCGTAGGCTCATGTCCCTTCTCCCCATTGCACCAGCTACTAACCTTCGCCATCCGCAGCCTACACTCCGACACTGCCAGGCAGCAGATGTTGCGATATCGGATTGGCAAGATTCAAGGGCTGTGGAGGAACTTCGTGCCTCCCATCCAGGGAGGCACGTTCCGCACTCTTGCAGAGATCAAAGACGATGCCACCCCCTCCTCCGACGTCGACAGCGCGAGGGAAGAAGCACGCTCACGCTCCCCGGCCTCCCGATCGCCGTCCCCCGTCTTCGACGTTGATGGTCAGGCATTGAAGCGCCGCACTGGCCGCGCTGCGAACCAACCTGCGGGGCCGCCCTCTGCATCTCGGCAGTCGGCGGCCGGCCCCGACATGGACGGCATGTCGTATCTCGACGCCATCACGCGCGAGCACATCAGCCTCGACCTCGAGAAATATCCGACGCCCGACCCGGAAACGCAGGCGGGCATCTTGGCCAAGTATCGCGCGCTGCATCAGAGGGTCCACGATAAAGGGCTTTACCGATGCGATTTCTGGGCCTATGCCGTCGACTGCTGCCGATATATCGCCTTCTTCGCCCTCATGTTCGTCTGTCTTGGCTGGGGTCAGTACGCTCTCGGAGGCATCTTCCTTGGCTTCATGTGGCACCAGCTCGTCTTCGCTGCTCACGACGCGGGCCACATGGGCATCACCCACAAATACAGCGTCGACACCATCATCGGCATCATCATTGCAAACTTTATCGGCGGCTTGTCCATGGGCTGGTGGAAGAGGAACCACAACGTCCATCACATCTTGACCAACGCGCCCGAGCACGACCCGGACATTGAGCACATGCCGCTCTTTGCCGTCTCGCACCGATTGCTAGGAAGTCTGCGGTCCACCTACTACGGCCGTGTCATGAAGTACGACGCCGCGGCAAAGTTTTTCCTCAGGATTCAGTCGTGGACCTACTACCCGTTGCTGGCCCTCGGCCGCTTCAACCTCTACGTGCAGTCGTGGGATTACATTCTGGCCAACAGGGGTGCTAAGAAAGGCCCCGGCGCCTGGCACCGGTGGCTGGAACTGACGGGCCAGGTCTTCTTCTGGACTTGGTTTGGGTATGGGATTCTGTACAAGATGATACCCGACGGCTGGTCCCGGTTTGTCTTCATCATGACAAGCCACGTCGCTTCTTCACCCCTGCACGTACAGATCGTATTGTCGCACTTTGCCATGAGCACAGCCGACCTGGGTCCGCACGAGTCGTTTCCCCAGAGGATGCTGCGGACAACCATGGACGTCGACTGCCCCCCGTGGCTCGACTTCGTCCACGGAGGCCTGCAGTTCCAAATTATTCATCATTTATTCCCACGCATGCCCCGACATAACCTCCGCAAAGCGCAGAAGCTGGTGCAAGAATTCTGTAACGACGTGGGCATCCCGTATGTCCTGTACGGGTTCGCGGACAGCAACAAGCAGGTAATCGGCCGTCTGTCCGAGGTGTCGAGACAGGCGGCCATCCTGGGCAAATGCCAAAAGACAATCGCGATGAGCGGCGACTTTTTTGGACATGACCACCATGACCACCGCAGTCACAATTGAGGAGCCTTGGCACGGCGAGACAGGGTGCTGGGCTGAAATGGTCGTTTGTCGTTTTGTTCCTGGTGCGTGTCCACCGGTTTCAAGGATGGGCAATGGAGGAGCATGTACTGTAGGCTGGAGACGATCGTCTTGTCTCGGATGTTTGGCAAGCCTTATTTCTTCACAATAAAAATGGTGTTGAATCGTCACTTACTGCGGTTGGTCGCGCGAGACTCTTTGAGCAAGGAGAGTTTGTCCTTGACAATCATTTCAAGGCCTTCCAATCTTGAAAATGTACGAAGTTTTGGAATCATTTATTGTTTCTCTCCATGCAACTTGAATGCCATCGAGCTTCCAAAGCTACTACCTAGCTATTCAGGTAGGCAAGGACAGACGGGCGGTGACGCCATTGGCTGCAGGCGCAGGGCCCAACAGCTACTGTTAACTTAGTCGTTGCATGCGGCGCCCCGTTACGGCCACCGGCCCTCACCTCACCTGCACCGAAGCCAGCTGAACTACTCGGTACCTGCCATCACCGACCCGGCGGGCGCGAACAGCATCACGTTTTGTACCACAATCAACATCGTCTGCTCTGCTTTCCATCGCCCTTCCCGCGGTGCCTCTGACCCTTCCCCATCTTCGCCTGCGGCCCGTCGTGTCTCATCTGCGGCAGCCAGCTCCGCTTGACTAGACGCGAGACCTCTCTCTGGGCTGAGAGGGAGCAGCTTCCTACCTACCCACCCTCCTACCTCGCCTGGCCATCTACCGTGGTTATCTGCGATAGAGATCCGAGGCAATCTCACCTCGCCTCACCTTGCCTCAGACGGCAAACCTCCATTCTCCTGGAGCAAACCCGGCGCCGGCCATGTTTCAGCAGCAACCATGGACGCCAACATCCAGCGGGCGCTGAACGACAAGCTCTACGACAAGCGCAAGGTCGGAGCACTCGAGTTTGTCAACCCGGAGCGCTGCGCGACGATTGACGAGCAACGTGAAGCTGACGCGTCTGCTCCCACGCAGGCTCGAGAAGATCATTCGCGATCTCGTCGTGGCCAAGGATTTCCAGCGCGTCCACGACGTTCTCGAGCAGCTCGTCAGTGACTACGCATACGCCGTGCATCAGCCCCATGCGCGCAACGGCGGCTTGATCGGCCTCGCTGCCGCTGCTATTGCCCTGGGCACCGTAAGTGTTATTTCTTCCGTCTTGATTGTCGGAAGCTTCCGTCCTGCCATCGCCTGAACCCTCTGCCACCGCTCGCCTCTCTTCCAGGGGCCCTCTTGCGTGGCTCTGGTGGGGATACACGGCTCCTCTCGTCTCACGCCTCTGTCCCTCGTTCCGACTCTGGGGTCCAGCCTGGAAAGCCTTCAAGAGAGGAGCCATTGCCTCATAAGCCTCGTCGACTATCCAGGGCTAACGATCACTCCAGGAGCTGCCGCGCTATCTCGCCAAGATTGTGCCGCCTGTATTGGCGTGCTTCACTGACCAGGATGCAAGGGTCAGGTATTATGCGTGTGAAGCCATGTACAACATTGCAAAAGTCGCCAAGGGCGAGATTTTGGTGTATTTTAACAGCATATTCGATCAGCTTTGCCGGGTACGTCCCTCTCCGGCCACATGGTCTCTGCCACTTATGGGAGATCGTCTCCGCTGACCAGACTCTCTTGTCGGGACCAGCTTGGTGCGGACTCGGAGCTCTCCGTCAAAAATGGCGCCGAACTGCTGGACCGGCTCGTCAAAGACATTGTTTCCGAGTCTGCTGCCTCGTATGTTTCCATCCTTGAAGCTTCTACAGACTTTGACGGCGGCAACAAGACGGACCTCGACGACGACAATGTCCCCTTACCCACCGCCTTCTCGCTGGTTCGGTTTATTCCCCTTCTCAAGGAACGCATCTGGGTCATCAACCCCTTCACGCGCCAATTTCTGGTGGGCTGGATCACCCTGTTGGACTCCATACCGGACTTGGAGCTCGTGACATATCTTCCCGACTTTCTCGCTGGAATTCTCAAGTTCCTGAGCGACCAGAACACGGATGTGCGGACCGCCACGCACGCCTGCCTCGACAAATTTCTGAACGAGATTAAGCGGATTGCGCGGGTCAAGAAGGGGATTCTGGAGAGCAGGAAGTCGAGAGAAGGCGGCAAAAGAAGACGGCAAGATTCCATGGATACGGGCAGCATTCGCCCCGATTTGGAAGAGGGGGAAGAGGTCGAGTCGGAGGCCCTGAACGATGACGACGACGACAGCATCGAGGAGGACTGGATCCCAGGTCAAGATGTCGAGATCAATTACAAGGAGGTGCTGGAGATCCTTACCGCGACGTTGGATTCGCCGCTAGGTTCGTTGCCCGTCCCCTCCGGGAAAAACGCCCCTGGAGCAAAGCCAACGATTGCTCACATTACGCAGAGGAAGATAGTCTTCTAGAATCGCTGAGATGGATTGTTGAGTTCCTCGACATTTGTCCAGAGGAAGTCCTGCCGTTCACACCCAAGATTCTGGCTCATATGCTGCCAGCCATGGCAAGCACGAAAGAGACTATTCATCGGGCGGCAACGAGGGTCAACACGTGCCTGCTTGACTACGTGGTGTCTCTGTCGGACGAGGCTGGGATCGGTCATCATAACCCCCATCAAGCCCCATTCCACCCAAGCTCGCGGCTCGCGCTTCCCGGCGACAAAGTGGACGACTCCAACAGCAATCGGGCGTCCTTGTCGAGTTCTCGCGACAAGGATGCGCTGAGTCCTGCGCCGGGCCAGGGCCAGGCTTCGTCCCGATCTGCTTCCCCCCCTCGGGCAGATCTCGACTACGCCGCGGCTGTCAACTCCTTGACGCTGCTGTTCCTCAACGACCACGAGGCGACTCGCGTCGCTGCGCTGACCTGGCTCATCATGCTACACAGAAAGGCCCCGAGAAAGGTGTTGGCCTTCAACGACGGCACCTTTCCCGCTCTTCTCAAGACTCTCTCGGACCCCTCCGACGCCGTCGTCACCAGGGATCTCCAGCTTTTGTCGCAAATATCGCGCAACAGCGAGGACGACTACTTCGCGAATTTCATGGTGAATCTCTTGCAGCTCTTTTCGACGGACCGCAAGCTCCTGGAGACGCGTGGAAACCTCATCATTCGTCAGCTATGCATCAGCCTCAGTCCCGAGCGGATATACCGTACCCTGGCCGAGTGCATCGAGAAGGAGGAGGATGTCGAGTTTGCCAGCATCATGGTACAGAACCTCAACAACAATCTCATCACAGCGCCTCAGCTTGGCGAAGTGCGGAAAAGGCTGCGCAACCTGGAGACCAAGGACGGACAGACGCTCTTTGTGGCTCTGTTCCGGTCATGGTGCTACAACGCCGTTGCCACCTTTTCATTGTGCTTGCTTGCCCAGGCCTATGAACAGGCCTATCACCTGCTGCAGATTTTGTGAGAAAATCCTTTGCCCGCAATTGGGGATGTATGTATTGCTAACGACCTCCAGTGGCGAGCTGGACATGACTGTCAACCTCTTGATCCAGGTCGACAAGCTTGTCCAGTTGATTGAATCGCCCGTCTTCACTTGTGGGTTGCCCGTTGTTTCCTGAAAAAGTCCGAGCAGCAATTGTTAACAAACGTATCTTGTCCTGGTCAGACCTGAGGCTTCAGCTTCTGGAGCCTGAGAAGTATCCCTATCTGTACAAATGCATGTACGGGATCCTGATGCTATTACCGCAATCGTCGGCATTTGCTGCCTTGAAAAACCGCCTCAACAGTGTCAGCTCCATAGGCTATTTGCACGTGGCCCCCCGGGGGTAAGTCTCTATTCTCGCATCCCATAGCTTCCACATCTCGAGACGAAGGCTAAACATGCACGTTTCGTGAAGCGCATCAGCATCGGCCAGCGGCGCCAACTATGACCGACCAAACCGATTGAAAGGGCGAGATGACGGGAGCATCCGGTGGCAAGAGCTGCTGGAGAAATTTCGCAGCGTCCAAGAAAGAGCGAGGAGAACACAGCGACACATGCTGGACGGTGAAGAGATGCCAGCGGCTGGACTCTCTGAGTTGAGAATGAGCGAAGGCCCGCTCGAAATCAAGGGGAGGGAAAGCCGCGGGCCGACTCCGACTGTGCCCCCGCCGGTGCCCCAAAAAGACTCTACGCCGGTGGCACCAGTTAAGAAGTCTGGCCTGGGCAGGCAGTTTGGAAGGCTTGGAGGTGCCGTATCGGGAAAAAGCCGTCGCAATCAGTAGCTGAGCCTGTATTACATTGTGAGGATATGGTGGACAGCGTTGGCGCGGGCAATGGCTTGTCGCTCGCTCGTCACCCAGCCCCTGATGTCCGTCTCATGCTTAGCCTTTGGTATGCGTGGGTTTGTATCATTTGAATTACTTTTCAGCGCCGTCTGACCGGGCTTTCGCGCTCGACTAGGCCCTCAAAGACAGCGTCACGATGCGAAGAAAAGGTTTGGAGCTGACGGCGGAGAGCATCCAGCTCACTTCGGGCCTTGATGGGATCATTCGGAAGACCCTCAAAGGCGGCAATTTGCGCATCGAGCTCTTTTTTGCATGACAAGAGGGCTAGCAAGTCCTTTTCTTGGAGGGAAACGTCGCCGATGGTGGGGTGCGAGGCATTGACGGGAGGCATCTTGGCGGCAGCATGATCTCGCAGATTGTCAAGATGACTAGACATGGACTTGATCTTGCGTTGCAGGTCCAGATTCTCCTTTGCCGAATCGGGAGGAGGCCTGAAGGAATCGCGTTGCCACATGCGCAGGAGACTGGCAGTCTGCTCGGCTTCAAGTTGGATTTGGCGCTCAAGCGAGTCGAGACGGGCAACCATCTGTTCCAGCTCAAAGAGGGTGCCTTGCAAGCTCATAATGTCGCAGCCGAGACGTTGGGGCTCTGCGAAGGCGGTCCTAGCCTGGACGGCCACTTTGGCAAGACAGTCGAGTGCATTTGTGCCCTCGTGGGGGAGCTGACGTTGGATCAGGGTGAGTAGGTCTTCTCTCAAGAGATGGGGCCGCAAAGCATGATTATCCGGTTTAGATCCGGTAGATGCACGGCCGCGGTTCTCAGCCAAGGCTGAAGCATCGGCGCGGGCCAGGAGTTGGCGTTGCTCGTCGGCAGCCTCGTTGGCCGTGGCGAGGACGAGGAGGGCCTTGAGAGTGTCCTGGTTGCGTTCAAAAGATGGCAGAGCCCGGCCAGGTGGGAACTTTGAAGCGAGCCAGGACTCGACGTGGGACCAGTCGCGGGCGGTGGAGGCAGCAATGCGGGCAACGGAGGGGGAGAAGATGGCGGCGGATTCGTCGTGCCGGGAGAGATGGTCATGGAGGTGAGCCATGGTCTTGGTATGCGGAGAAGACGCGTGGATGGATGAAAGACGGCCGTCAAGCTGCGTGCCCGTTTGAAGATGTTTCTCCTCGACTGGTCCGAGTACGGGGTCATGTGTTGAGTCACGTGCATTTCGATTATCGTCCCCGGCTTACCGAGGCGTGTCGGCAATGTGCATCCTCGCCGGCATCAAATGTTCCTGCGTGACTGACTCATTCGCCTCAGAGTCCTGCTCGCCACAGCCCGTAGCTAAGCAACCGACACTGCTCTTCCGAGCTTGCGACAAGGGCTTTTTCAACAATGAACAACGGCAAACAGGACTGTGTCAACGACCCCGAGGCCGGAGCCGCCAGTCGGATCCTGGTCCAAGGTCCAACCCTTGACCCCATCTGGTTCCAAGAAATGGCAACTATGAGCGATCCATGCATGTCCATCTTGAACCGTACATGCCAGCACCCCTGGAACTGCGATTTCGAGGTACCAAAATTCCGCTGGGCCTCGTATAATGATCAGTTCGCCTTGAACAACCGACGTTGCTTCTTCCTGATCGACTTCGGTCAATCTGGAAATGATGATGTGCCCGTTTTGGCTTACGAGTGAACGGGAGGGAAGAAAGACCCATGTCAGGCCTAGATTTTGGCGGAAATTTGTGGCCGAGGCCAATACTGTACTTACAAGTCTCCAGGGACTCCAGATATTAAGGAACAGCCGAATCCTGTTTCTCGGTCCGCGATCAAGGCGTCGAGGAATTACAGCAAATGCATCGAATTTTCTACTATTGCTGCAAACACCTCGAGAGTCCGCCAATTGAAATTAATTAGTAGGGAAGCATGGCGGCGCGGGCGGTGACATAACGGGGCGTGCCAACAGTAAAAAGGCACATTGTATTGACACCCCTGTTCCCACCTGTCGGCCCATCCATTGGTCGCATGAATCGAGAGCAAAGGCCAGCGTGGGCTTTTCTTATAGTTAGTGTCGATTCGCCGTCATTCGTCGTCCCTCGTCGTGACACGTTCTACCGTCGTCGCCTCTTGACATCGCGCGCTTGCCTCACTCCTTGCCGCAGGCCTGTCGCATACTCCCATTCATACTCACAGCGCTTCCAGCTGCTTGCTTCCCCACGACACCTCTCCTCCACAGCATCGCCGCCGCCACTGGCTTCGTCCGTCTTCGCATGTACTCGTCTTAGCCCCATCGTCGGCCGCCTCCGACCTCCTCTGCCAACATGCGCTTCGACTTGTCTAGCCTGGCTGTGACGGCCAGCCTGCTGGCATCTGCCGGCAGTGCGCTATCGTCCCACGATGTCCCCTCCGACCTGCCCGTCTCGGCGCTCCTGACGTCGGCGCAGTCGCTTCTGGCCAGGGGCGAGACAAGCGAGGCCCTCGTCTACTACGATGCTGCCCTCGCCAAAGACCCGACCAACTACCTGACCCTCTTCAAGCGCGCTACAACCTACCTCTCCCTCGGCCGCGCCGCTCAGGCAACCGACGACTTCAACAAGGTGCTTGCTCTCAAGCCTGGCTTCGAAGGCGCCCACCTGCAGCTGGCAAAGATCAAGTCCAAGGCCGCCGAGTGGGAAGCTGCTAGGGCCGAGTACAAGGCCGCAAACAGGGACCTCGACTCAACCGAGGTTGCAGAGCTTGCAGAGGCAGAGGGCGCCGCCAGGCTCGCCAACGACGCCGCGAGCGCTGCTCAATGGGACGATTGCGTCAATCATGCTGGTGTCGCCATCCTCGTCGCCTCCAGATCTCCGTCCCTGCGCCAGCTGAGGGCCCGCTGCCGCTTCGAGCGTGGCGAGGTTGAAGAGGGCATGGGCGACCTACACCACGTTCTGCAGATGCGCCCTGGGGACACGGATCCCCGCGTCCTGATTTCGGCCACGACCTTTTACGGCCTCGGCGATTTCGACAATGGCCTCGCGCAAGTCAGGAAGTGTCTTCACTCTGACCCAGACTCCAAAGTCTGCAAGAAGTTGCACAAGCAGCAGAAGCTCATCCACAAAATCTACACAAAGGCCCAGGGCCAGCTCAATAAGGGGCAATCGACGACGGCTGGGCGCACACTCATTGGCAACGCAGAAGAGCCTGGTCTGATCACAAAGATCCGAGAGCAGGTGGAAGAGCTGCGGCAGGATGGGAGGATTCCCGCCAAGTCGACGGCCAGATTATATGACCAGACTGTGGAGATGGTGTGCCAGGCATACTCTGAGGTAAGATGTGCAACACCTTCGGTCGCTGTGGAGTGAGGTCACGCTGACATGGGAATTTGCACTGCAGTCAAACCACAGAGATGCCCAAAAGTATTGCGACGAGGCGCTGCAGCTGGACTCCCAGTCTTTCTGGGGCCTGGTCCATCGGGGCAAGGTGCTGCTCAAGAAGGAAGAATTCGAGGCGGCCATCGAGGCGCTGAACAAGGCAGCCGAAGCGCGGCCAGACAAGCAGGACAAGGTCAATCCGATCCTCAACAAGGCCCAAATTGCCCTCAAGCATAGTAAGACAAAGGACTACTACAAAATCCTCGGCGTGCCCAGAGACGCCGACGAGAGGCAAATCAAGTCGGCATACCGGAAAGCATCGAAGCAGCACCACCCGGACAAAGCAGCCAAGCAGGGCGTCAACAAGGAGGAGGCCGAGAAGAAGATGGCGTCCATCAACGAGGCGTACGAGGTGCTCAGCGACCCGGAGCTCCGCACGCGGTTCGACAACGGGGACGACCCCAACTCGCAGGAGAGGACGAACCCCTTCCAGGGCCAGCCCTTTCCCGGCGGCAACCCCTTCATGTTCCAGCAGCAGGGCGGGGGCGGGCAAGCCAACTTCAAGTTCCACTTTGGCGGTGGCGGAGGGGGGGGGGGCCCGTTTGGGTTCTGAAATGCTGACGACGGCGCTGACGTTAGCGGAAGTGCTCATGCACTACCGCGCCCGCAGCAGGGCAAGGGCGGGGCGTTTATTGATACTATTGTCGACTGCGTGGTTGTACCTACTAACCTCTAGAGTCTGGAAGTGTAGTCTCAGCCGCAGGTGCGTGCCTATTTTCCAGCTGCTAGAGTATATCGAGCTGCCGGGCCGAGGTGAAAGATTCGCAGGCGGGGCTTTCGGGACCCTTAACGTAGAAACTCGGCAATGTATGATGATTGCACGTTACGCTGGAGCCCGGGAGCAAAGCAATAGACCGCAGGCTGGTTCTGGCCACGCACATCCGCTGCCAACGCATTTCCCTGTGGAAACCGAGCAATGATTATCTAGGTGCATCCGATGCCTGCATCCCGAAACGAGCATTCACTCCCAAAGTCATTGTCGCACAATCCTCCGGACCCATACCCTCTTCAGCAGCCAAGTAAGTTGGAACCCGCCGAGACTTTGCGCCGCTCTGTATACATATTCGTCACCGGGAAGCGCAGCCGCCCTCTTCTGCGGAATCCCACATTTCCGGCAATGAGTGAGTCTGGCGAGCCTGCGTGTATCGAGCCGGAACACGTAATCAAAAGATATCGAAGCAAAATTGCAAGTCTACGCCGCGGCATCGCGGCTTGGTTGACGCGGATTCGCTTCGGTCCACCGAGAAGCCCTGCTTACCCAATGCCTACGGGAGATAGCCGTTCCTTTCGCGACGGCTGACGGTCGCCAGATTCATAAGCTAAAGTCTCACGATTTATCGTTGCGCTTGATAAAGTAGGCTCTGGAGGGAAGTGGTCAGCAGCTAGACGCAGATGATAGACGGGTTCCCAGGAGAGTCCTACTTGGAAAACTCATAGGCCGACCAGCAAATGGCGGTGCTTGGCATTGTCGTGACAATCCTAGGCCGGACGCCCTTGAAAAAGCCGTGAAATCCTTCCTGGCGGTAGAGGAGCTGGCATCCGCCGACGAAACCGCTCACGTTGCGGACTTGGGGGTCGGAGGAAGTGCCACGAGTTTGCAGAATCGTCTTGACAACGTCCATTGGAGTCGTCAAACCGGCGGCGAAACCGCCTGCCACGGCGCCTGCCAAGCAATGCGTCAGGGGATCGTATTTTTTTTGTGGATTCATCGTCGTCGAGATGGACTCGTAGGCGAGGAACTGCAGTGCCGTGAATGGGACTGTCATCGATAACGTGGTCGGGTAGGAGATGTAGAAGGCACCGATGCCCTCGTTCCTATACACGTACTTGGCGCAGTCGACCATGGAGCGATATATCTTGCTCGAGTTCTGGATCTGCATGCGCTGCTTGATGACTGGGACACGTGAGATGCGTCAGCCCGGCACACACGAGCAAAGGTCGAGCACACATACCGTCAAACGGGTTCATGAAGGCATCGCTGGCAATGGTGGCGGCGGCGCCGCTCGTTGCTGTCAAGATTCCCGTGTTAGCTCCCGGACGGAGAGAAAGGGTGAGAGTAGGCGACGCCGTCAGAAAGGTCGACGCGTGGACACACCGGCAGCGAGAGGATGGTGAACGCCGACTTGGTTGCCTCCCATGGCGTGCTTGACAGCCTCGTACGTCGCAAAGTATACTGCATGGGCAGGGCCTGGGTTGCTCGGTCAGCAGGAGAGGCCCCTGGATGACAATGGCCGTGGCTCACCTGCTCCGATGATGACGCTAGACATGCCGCGCCACAAGCTGAGGAAGCCTTCGCAAGAGGCTATTTGGTAGGTACTGCGCAAGACTCCGGTGTATGCGGTCGTGGCATTCGGATTGAGAACCTGCATTCGAGTCTGCCCAAAACTGTCAGTGCTGATACCAGCGGGGGAACTCCCTGACTGAGGGGAGTGGCGTTTGGGCCGCCATACCTTGATGGCGTCAATGGGATACATGACGGTATGTTCCTGGATATCGCAGTCAGCCGCTTGCCCACCAGAGTCGAGGACAGGACTCGTGGCGATTCCCAGGAGATGCCTCGGGTCGGGTTGGGGCTTGGACATACGGCGATGCCAGCAAAGGCTCCGGCTGCCATGTTCTGGAGCAGGGAAAAGTTGGGCGGGAGTGATTCGTAGCTGCATAACAAGCTTTCCATCAGTACACGGCAGACTGAGCGATAGCAGGCGCGGGCACCCACTCATAGTCCTCAGCCGGCTCGGCACTTGGCTGGGCCATTTCGGCCACAGCTTCGGGAGCTCTGCCGAAGGACTTGGAGTCCAGGGCAGCCAGGTTGACAGCGATGCCGGAAAGAACGCAGCGCAATGGCGAATGGATGACGCACGCGGGGAGCTCGGCGACCTGGAGAGGAGCGGGCTAATGGATCGCCAACAGTGGGATACTGCAGCGGAGGTAGGTTTGCGGCCGTGGCGAGCGGGAGCGGGAGCGGGAGCGGGAGCGGAGGACAGTTTACAGGGCAAGGCCTTGAGACAGCGAAAAGGCTCCGAGGTCGTGCAAGAGTGGCTTCGTCTTGGCCGTGTCGCTGGAGCCAAAACACCAGGTAAGGATGCTGGTAATGGGAGAGGCAAAGCAGGAGTCGATGATGATGTTGGCTGCGCTGGCAAAAATTTCCGCCGTTGGTGTTGCTCTGCTCCGGTGACGGCCTCGGAGTCCGGCAGCCGAGCTTGCGCCATGGAGACCTGTTACAGTACGGCTCGGCTTCCGAGCACTGTACTTTCCCTAGCATGAGCGGGCTCTCTCCACAGTCGCCACTCATCAATGTCTACTGGATAGGTACAGTGCCGAATTGCCGTGACGCGGCGAACCATCGCCGAGCCTCAACTTTACTCCGTCATGTCCGCCCTCGACCGGCACCGCGCCGGCTGCCGTGGCGGAAATCTTAGGACGCGCTCCGGCACCTCAATTGTGCATGCGTAAAAGGGCATCGGCCAACGCCGCCACAGTGAAGCCACTTGACCGCCTATGCTCCTCCCGTGTCGCCACTAACTTAATACCTGCTAAACTCTTGAAATCGAGCGACATGTCGACAAGGGTCCCGAACCTTACCGAGCATGTCCCACGATTTAACTCCGGAGACATTCTGACTCCCTAAACGACACCGCCTCGCCTGCTGTGTTGCGTCTGCCGCAGCTGGTATATCAGCCCTAAAACGCCCGCCTCGGGCTCCTCGGCGTTGGCTGCGCTATTTTCGCGGCTCAGATCCTGCCCGGGCGAGGTTTCCCATGTAGACTCTCCAAGTATGCCCCCAACCTCGTGCCCGTCCAGCTCCTCGCTAGCCCGGTCCTCCGCCGCCTCTTCAATGATCTGGTCCTCACCACGGTAGCCCCCTCGACGATGCCGTGACCGGTGCATGCTTCTCGCTCCCAAACTGGCCGCTCCCGGCTGGTTGTGTGGATCAAGTAGCACCGATGCCATCGGTGACGGTTGAGCGAAGCTAGGTCCAGCTCGCGATACTCGCGATCCTCCCAGTCCCACTACCCGGCTTCGGGCCCGTCCGGACTCAACGGGTCGACCTACGTGGGAGCCCTGCATGTCTGCGGCCAGCGTCGGTGAGTTCAGGCTCGGGAATGCCGGTGGCGGATGGAACTGTTGCCGCACCCCAGGCGGCATATGCCCCGGGATTCCCGTCTTGGGGTTGATGACGTAGTTGTCCAAGAAGCCGTAATATGAGGCAGCCATCTTACCGTGCTTGGTCGAGTAGTAGTCTTCGCGAACGTCATGGTCTCTCCCCTGCTGCGCAGCCCTGCCGATCCCTTTTTTGAAGTCAAACACGGCAAACGAACAAACGTATCCCAGCCCATCGACGTGAATGGTGAATTCTCGGAAGAAGTCGACAATCTGCTCACTGCACTTGGGCAGCGAGAAGAGCAGCAGCATCGGCGTGGTGATGATTCCCATGACTTCCTCCAGGAATATGAGCACCTTCATCTTGTACAGCTCGGAAAATTCCTTTTTAACCTCGAAGCTGTGCAATCGCCCGTTCCAATGGTCTGGCATGTAGTGAGTGTACTCGATCACGTTTCGCAACGCGTACTCTGGGTTGAAGACGCTCGTCTCTTCAGAGATCATTCCGCGCGTCATCGCCCAGATGCCTCCAAAGACGCCGAGGTAGAAGAGAACTGTTCGGTCCTTGGTGATCTCAAACCCGAGGAAGAGCTCCGAGTCTAGGACTGTGCAGACGGCGAGCACCGCTGTGATTGCCCCAGACATGAACGAGATGCTGCGGGCAATTTCCTCCGTCATTCGTTTCGGGAACTGGTCAATATATCGGGTCGCGAATGGGAACGACATGTGCAGCCTTTCGTAGAAGATGTGCGGTAGCTCATTGAATTCTCGAAACTTCCACTCGGCCAGCGCAGTGTATTTGCGCGCCGCTGCCAGCTTGGGGTCTTTTTGGTACTCCTGGATTTGTGATTAGCATCTTCTCCCGCTCGCGCAAACAGGCGACTGACGTTGTAGTAGGTGAAGAAGTAGACGATGATGACATAAGCGAGCACTACCGGCGCAAAGACGAGGTTCAGGAGTCCAGCAAAATAAAGCCGCTGTTTCAACTTTTGGCTGAGTATGCCCCTTCGATCTGCCCGCAGGAAATCTTGTCGCACCTGTCCCAGCTCGTTGAACGCCATGTCGATGATACCGTAGTGCAGATACCACTCCATGGTCTTGGAGAACAGCTGCCTGCCCCGCAGCAGCGGCAGCGGCAGTGAAAGGTTCAGGACATCTTTGTTGATCATGGCGATGAGGTAGTTCTCCTTGCGCATCAACCGGTTCGCGATGTCGTGAGCATCCAACCTTTCCTTGGACTGGCTGCCGATGAAGCGGCGCAGGTTTTGGGGCATATTCATGGCCGTCTTTGGATTCTGGTCGCGCAGCGTCATGATGCGGGCTACAATGTCTTGCCATGACACTGTCTGCATGTCCTGCTCTGGAATCTCAAGTAGGTAGACGTAAAAGTCGCGGATATGGATGAGCCGACGGATCTCGAAGAAGTACTGCACAGACTTCCAGATGAAGAAGAAGGAGTAAAGCCAGATTCCGAAGCTCCAGAGGCCGGACATGTTTCTTGTGCACTGCTTGATGACAACTTGGTTGAGGGATTTGCTATGAGGAACCTTGGTGTAGTCAATACATTGGGTCAGGAACGTCAGTAACACGGCGACGAACAGCGTCTCCCTATCAGGTATTTGTTAGCTAGACAAGCGGAAGAGACGGGCGACTAGCCATGTTGGGAAAACACTGACAGGAGCCACAAGGCGTTCGAGCACAGAATGCACAGTAGGCCGCAACCCTCGTAATAATGATAAACGTCTCGTATGAAGGTGTCGAGGCTCGAGGTATTGGCCCATCTCCAAAGAGACTTCTCTCGTCGTCCGCCCGTGACGGTGTCCCTCATAAGAGATCGCGGTTGCGGCATAGACGATGGCCCTCGGGGTTCATCTTGATGGAGGCGTTGCTGAGCCGTCGCATCGTCCCATTGCAGCTGCGATCTACTTCCGGGGTTCCCACTGCCGTAGGGCGGCCGTGTCTGGGGCTGCCGGTTTTCAGGCATTTGTCCGCCTGGATGAAATGTGTCGACGTCGTTGGGCTCTACCAACAAGGATGCCGGAACATCACTGTCCAGTTCGTCGTCGTGGACGGGCCACCGCGTTGGTACTTCGCCAAGGCCTCGATGCTGTCTGGTCGCCTTGCCCAAGTGGCCACCGCCCCCCGCGGCGCTGTCAACGGTGAGGCGGCTGTCGCCGGCTGCCAGGGCTTCGGCATCGAACCCGCTGAGCTGCTGCCGGAAGTTTTCTTCGTCGACGTTCAGGCCTGCCCCCTCTTCCAAGTCGGCATCATCGTGCGAGCGCAGCTCCTCATAGAACGACCGGGTGCCTCGTGAGGACGGGGCAAGGCGGCCGAAGAGGTTGCCGGCCATTGTCGACGTCGATGGCGTCTAGGAGTTTTTCGATGTATTGTGCCCTCGCCGATGGAAAAGCTGCCCATTAGTAGATCGAGGTGCAGGCAGACAGCGTCGAACCCAAATAACGTGGGCGCCGAGGGTAGCTTTGTTGGTTCAGCGCCGTACAGGCGAAACTCGCGGCATGGTGCGAACGGTAGGTCCGAGGTCGCTATCGCAAGGGAAGTTTAGATGGAGATATCGTAGGGCATGCACCTGGACATCGCCACAGGCCATGAGTTACCAAGAACAAGTCATGTGGATGGGGAACGTGATGCTCAAGCCATGCGCCCCAGATCGACCAGCAGCTCGCGCTGGGGGAGCGCCGCATCCCTTTGAATGTCCGAAAGGCCAGCCCTAGGTCACTGGACCGATTAACCCCGCTTTAGTCAGCAGGTACTTAGGACTTGCCGAAGGGAGCTAGAAAAACGGTACTGGCTCTGCTATAGGTAGGTACCTAGGTAGGTAGTTTAGGTACTTTTCTCTCAGTGAGACGACCAGTTGCAATTAGGTACCTACTTACCTAGGGAGGTATGTACTTCTTGCAGCTTAAGTCTGATTTATCAGCCCCTTGAAAGTGACCTACGTGTGGCCATCGCACACTCAACAGGGTATGAGTCTCGGAAGTACTGCGAAACTACCTAGACGGGATCTTGTATTGTCTCGTATAACTATGCCGGCCTGTTTAAAGGCCGCCTTTCATATAGGAGATACACGACAGTAGCCGACAAATTCCGCAAAGCAAAAGTTAGTGCGGAGAATTATAGAAACACTATTAGGAGTTCACGTCTAACGTTAGCCACCTAGCTTATAGCATACCCCCCTTCTAGTATATCCCTACTACCCTCGCGCCGATATTAATATTATATCGTAACTAGGTTTTCTTATATATATTCTATCTAATAATTATAAATAATATACTATTTAAATTATAATACCTTAAGCTTTTAGATATACTAAAGACTAGCTCTAGGAAGTACTTTTTAATATTGGAAATAAGATACTATAGATATATACTAGTTATAAGTAAGGTATTTTAAGAGGTATACTTTAAACGCGTCTTAAAGGTGCCCTATTAATAAGAGAGGTATAAGAGTTATATTAGCGGCTTAGTTAAGAGTAAGAGAAATATTTTAAAGAATAAATTCTTACTTAAGCCGCCCTTAAGCTACCCCTTATATACTTTTAACTTAAGGAATTCGCTAGCTATATTATTAATACTAGCGGTATAAGGGCTTTTACCTTATATAGGCCTAGACTAAAGTCTAAGCTAAGCCTATATATAAGCGGCCTTTATACTTATATAGGCTAAGCTTATACTCCTCTTTTTTTTCTTTTTTATAGATTATTAACTTTCTTTTTATAAACTATACTTAAGCCTATACCTCTATATACTTTATAATAGTATAATCTACCTTTTATTTAACCTTCTTTATATCTTTATATATAAAATAGCTATTATAGCTACCTTTAAAACTAACGTTTAATTATATAGTTTAATTAAGCTAGCCTTATACTTATATAAATAGTATAGATAACGTTTACTAGAGCTAGCGTTATAAAGCTCTAGGCTATATAAAGACCGACCTTAGTAACCCTTACTACTTTTCTTATAAGCTTATTATACCTATACTTATATAAATAGTATAGATAATATCTATTAAAGCTAGCGTTATAAAGCCTAGGGCTATATAGAGACTAATCTTAGTAATACTTACCGCCTTTCTTATAAGCCTATTATATATATATTTTTTATCTTCTTTTATAGCTTAAAAAAGGATATCTTTATTTTTACTTTAATAGCTAAGGATAGGAAGAGGTAGCGGTAAGAAGGCCGCTATATAAGCTATAGTAGTAAATCCTATTAGTTTTAAAGTACCCGCGCTAAGAGGTATAGGTAAATATACTTTAAGTAGTAAAGGGGCGTATATACTAAGATAAAAAGGAGGTTAGGTTTAATAATAGTAACTTTAATAATAAGTAATCTTAGTAATACCTTTATAAGCTTTATTAGCGTTCCCTTATATATAGTAGTAGCTACTATATAAATAGAACGTATACTTATAGTAATTAAAAAGGTAGCTAAGATATAAAAACGCTAATATAATATAACTATAGTAAAAAGAAGTATCTATAAAGCCTTATATAAAAAGGAGTAAAGCTTTATATACTAAAGTACTATCCTTTATATTATAGTACTAAGAGCTATTACTATACGCTAATATAAAGGGGGCGGGATATTATAAGCTTACTAAAGCTAGTTATATACTATTATATATACTTTTACTCCTTATTATAGGCTATGCTTATAGAAGGCTAAGGTTATACTATAGCGACTATATTAAAGTTAGGCTAAAGTAGACCTATATATAGGCAAAGCTTGACCTAAACTTAGGCTAAATAGTACTTAAATATAGGTCGAGCTAAGGATTAAGGAAGATAAATAACTATCGCGACTAAGATAGAGTTTTCTTCCTTTCTCCTTAGCTTTAGATAAATAATTATTTAGCCCTATACTACTATACTAAGTATACGCTAGCCCTTAATATATCTAAAGCTCCTTTTAGATAAGGCTATAAAGCCTAAAAAGAGATCGGACTAAAAGGATATAATATAGATATCCTAATAACTTAAAGGAGGGAGAAGTATAGATTAATAAAGAATTCTTTTTAAGCTTAAGGGAAATCTTCTACCTTATCTATAACTACCTAGACGCCGGGCTATAATAAACGGTCGCTATATACTATAAAATAAGAGTAAAGAAGGGCTATAATAAAAAGGAATTCCTAAAGTACCTTAACTTAATCTACCTTAACGTAGATATCTAGTTACGCGCGGTAGCGGCGATCTAGATAATAAAATAAAGGGAAAGTTAAACGTTTATAGTATTCCTCTTAAAGTTTAAGTAGAGACCTTTTAAAGCTAAAGGCGGGTCTTAGCTATATAACGTTTAGATCGTCTTCTTAGAAGGGGCTCTAGGAATCTAGCTTTATAAGGCGTTAGCTATAGTCGACCTCCTTATATTAAGCTTCGCCGCCTATATTAATTAGGTAGCGTAAATAGTAGCTAAGCTAGAGAGGGTTTAGTAAATAAGATAACCCCCTTTAAACTAAAGGAGACTAGCGGATATATACCCCTAAGAAAGGAAGGATAAAGATAGGGATACCTTAATAACTAGTATTAATACCTTAGATAAATAAAGGGGGGGGTAGAGCTAGCTAAAGAATTAAATATACTTTAACTATAAAGTTAAAGGATATATCGCGCTTTATTATAAGAAGAGGAGATAGGAACCTTAGAGGGTAGGTATAATAAAGAAAGAAAGGGACGCCGAGGATAATAATAACTTAGAAAAAAGGGAACCTTAGTATAAAGTTAAGCGCTAAGGGTAAAAGAGAAATAGTAAAAAGCTTAGAAGTTAATAAGGGACTATCTTATACTAAGCCTAGTAATACTAAGGGTAAGTATTAATAAGAAGAAGGGACTTAATATACTTATAAATACTAGCTATAATTATTATACTATAGTAAGTAAGAGGGTAGTAAAAAAGCTATAAATACCTCTTACTATTAAGAGGAAAAGATAACTAAGGCTATTCTTAAAAGATACTTTAACTTAGTTAAAGAATAGCTAACGTTAAAGAATATTAAGGATATATAAAGTTTCCTAGGATTTATAAATTACTACTAATAATTAATTAAAGATTTTAAAAAGATTATAGTACTATTATATAACTTAATAAAGAAGGAAAAAGAATTTATATAGGACGATAAAGCTAATTAAGCTTTTAAATATATTAAAACTATAATTATATAAGAACTAGTCTTAACTACCTTTAATCTAAAATAATAAATTAAACTTAAAACTAATATATTAGACTTTACTTTAAGAGTATAAATTAAATAAAAAGATAAAGAAGGAAGACTATAACTAATTATATTCTACTTAAAAAAGCTATATAGTATAAAACTTAATTACCTTATTTATAATAAAGAATTCCTTATAATTATTTAAGCTTTTAAGGAATTTTAATACTACCTTCTTAATAGTAAGTATAAAGTTAAGGTTTATATAGATTATAAAAATATCTTATACTTTATAATAATATTATAGTTAAACGGATAATAGATCTAATAAGCCGAATACTTATTAGAATTTAACTATAAAATAATTTATAGAAAAGGAATAGAAAACGGTCGAGCTAATACCTTTAGTTAATAAAGTAACTATAATATAAAAGTACTTATAATAAAAGGATAGCTCTTAGAAATTAATAAAAATAAGAACTACTAGTAATAATAGCTAAATATAATATTTAAAGTATAACTTAATAACTTAATATATTAAAAGATCTTAAAATAAATAAAAGAATAAAAAGTATTAAATAGATATAATATAGAATATTTAAAGTTTTAATATATAAAAATAAAATCTAGATACTACTAGAATTATAAGATAAAGTTATATAGGATATATATAAATATTTAATATATAGATACTAAGGAATCTAAAAAATAATAAAATAAATTAAACGATAATATAACTTTTTATAGCTTAAAAAAGTAGTATAATAAGTTCTTAAAGAATATAAACTTTATATATAAAGTAAAGCTAAATAATATAAACTATATAAAGAATTATAACCGTTACTAGTACTAAAGAAACTATAGGATTTAATAGCTTTTAACTATATTATAAAGCTATTACTATTAAAAGAACCTATAACTAACGTTAAGTATAATAGTATATTTATTATTTTTAATAGACTAATAAAGTATAAGTACTTTTTACTATATAAAGAAGTAAGTAATATAAAAGAGCTAGTATATATATTCCTATAAATAATTATTAGTAATTATAAACTACTAAATAAGATTATCTTTAATAAAAAAAGTATATTTATAACTAGGTTTTAGTAAGCTCTTATAGTATAATTAAGAATAAAATATAAGCTTAGTATAGCTTATTACCTATAAATA